ATATTAAATACTTTCAAAATCAACACAAGATAGATGTATTTAGTCTACTTTTCATGATGAGAGAGTGTGGCTGTAAGTGTGAAATATCTTGCACAGGTCACACGCTCTAATGGGATTCAAATCTCTGTGTCTGAATCCATAGTCTGTTTTCCATTACTAAACTGTGCTCTTTTAAGGAAATGTACAAAAATATAGCAACTCTTTACCTAAATCTACTGGAATTGGTCTGCTAACAACATTTATGTGGAATATTTGCCATTCATTGAATATGCATGATTTCCATTGGCCTACATGCCTTATATAATGTAGTTTTCACAACAATACTATAAATTTCATTAACTTTATAAATTTTATTCATAACAAATGGTGAAGCTGATGTTGGAAAAAATTAAACTATTTGCCCATGTTTATGTTTTAAATCCAATGATGTTATATGAAGTCAAAGCTTCTTGCACAATGATACGATTCTTTCAAGATAGGAAAAGTGCCTCATATTTCCAATTTATATCATCATATCCACTTAAGAGACATTAAATCACATAAATTCTTATGAAATTACACTTTCATTTTGCCATTTGCTTTTTCAGTTTCATAAATTTTGTCTCACTATGAGGAAAAGTACATCATGATTTGCATGTATAAAATGCCTATTCAATAAAATGCATCAAGTGCCTACCGTATAAGTAGAGTTATGACAGTAAAAAATAAATTTCCTACATTCACAGAGATTACATTCTAGTGGGAAATTGACATATAAAAAACATTAGATAATGCTTTGAAGGAAAATAAGGCAGAATAAAGAGCTAGAAATTGAAGAGGGTGTCATTTCTTTTAGATAATGCAGTCAGAGAAAGCCTGTCTCAATACATGACATGAAAGCAGCTAAAAATTAAGCATGAATCTAATTTTTTCAAGTGTAATCAGCTATTATTTTGATAAACGTTAAGTGTACATAAGCTACTTCTGTAGAAATAAACAAGGTAGTCTGTGATTGATATTTCATGCATAAATTCAGATAACTTCCTCCCCCATAGGACAATTCATGTGACAACAAAATGCTGAATTTGTGAACTATACTGAAATAACTGTTATGAAGGACATATGTTTTTCTTATAGGAAAATCACATGTGTTTTAATCAGTGCCTATTGAATTTTATTCAGCATCTAATTATTAAAAGTTTAGCTATCTTTTTGAAAGAACTTCTGACAATTTAGTAGTGGGGATATTCTGCTAGACAGAGGCAAATTGATAGTGGTAATTGACATCTGTCAACTTGAAATCAATAGAAGACAAGGAAGAACAAATGCCAAATAGAAAAAATAAATAATGATGGCAGGCTAGATTAGGGTAGTTAAGAGTGAAATAGTAAAGATATTTTAATAATCTTTTATGGACTTAGAATGTTAGAGAACAGCAGTTTAATAAATAATCACAATTATATCTATATCAACTATAACATCTTCGGCCATGTTCAGTGAGTGCACACTGCTGAAAAAGCAGAGGGGCATGCCACATATTTTACAACAA